GGGTTTGTTTGGTGTTTTTTTGTTTGTGTTGTGCTTTTGTTCCCTAATCATTTTTGTTGCCCTCCGCTGGACTCTTTCCAATTTTTCCACATCTGTCTTGTAGTGTGGGGCCCAAAACTGGACACAGTATTCCAGATGAGGCATCACCAATGTCGAATAAAGGGGAACGATCACGTTCCTCGATCTGCTGGCAATGCCCCTACTTATACAGCCCAAAATGCCGTTAGCCTTCTTGGCAACAAGAGCACACTGTTGACTCATATCCAGCTTCTCATCCACTGTGACCCCTAGGTCCTTTTCTGCAGAACTGCTACCTAGCCATTCGGTCCCTAGTCTGTAGCAGTGCATGGGATTCTTCCGTCCTAAGTGCAGGACTCTGCACTTGTCTTTGTTGAACCTCATCAGGTTTTTTTGGCCCAATCCTCTAATTTTCCCTTGGGGCACTCCGCTTGAAACCGGCTGCCGACTAGACATGGAGCCATTGATCACTACCCGTTGAGCCCAACGATCTAGCCAGCTTTCTATCCACCTTACTGTCCATTCATCCAGCCCATACTTCTTTAACTTGGTGGCAAGAATACTGTGGGAGACCGTATCAAAAGCTTTGCTAAAGTCAAGGAATAACACATCCACTGCTTTCCCCTCATCCACAGAGCCAGTTATCTCATTATAGAAGGCAATTAGGTTAGTCAGGCACGACTTCCCCTTGGTGAATCCATGCTGACTGTTCCTGATCACTTGCCTCTCCTCTAAGTGTTTCATAATTGATTCCTTGAGGACCTGCTCCATGATTTTTCCAGGGACTGAGGTGAGGCTGACTGGCCTGTTGTTCCCCGGATCCTCCTCCTTCCCTTTTTTAAAGATGGGCACTACATTAGCCTTTTTCCAGTCATATGGGACCTCCCCCAATCGCCATGAGTTTTCAAAAATAATGGCTAATGGCTCTGCAATCTCATCCGCCAACTCCTTTAGCACCCTCGGATGCAGCGCATCCGGCCCCATGGACTTGTGCACGTCCAGTTTTTCTAAATAGTCCCGAACCACTTCTTTCTCCACAGAGGGCTGGTCACCTTCTCCCCGTATTGTGCTGCCCAGTGCAGCAGTCTGGGAACATCTAACTAAGTGGTCCAGTTTTCAAAAGTGTTGAACTCATAGATGTCATATTGACTTCCCATTGACTGTGCTGCTGACTTCAGTGGGAAATGGTGGGAGCTCAGCACTTTTATAAATGAGGCCACTTGGTTGGGTGCCTAAATATGGATTTGGGAACCTAACTTTAGTAGAGCTGGTCAAAACATTTCTGATGGAACATTTTTCCATTAGAAAATGCTAAATCAATTACATTGAAACATTTTGTGGGAACATGTCAGTTTCATCAAAAAATTTCAATGGGAAATTATTGAAGCGTTTAGTTTCAATAAGGTCAAAACATGTTGTTTTGACTAATATAACAGTTGAAAAAATGTTTCAATAAATGTTTCAATATTATTTTGTAATGTTTTATTTTGTGAACAATTCTGATTTCTGCTTTTCATCCCAATTTAGGATGAAACAAAATTTTGAAATATTGGAGTTTTCCCCAGGATAGGAATTGATCAGCTCTGGACTTCAGGCATCCACTTTTGAAAATTTAGGCCTTCAGATGTCAGGTGGTTATATTGCTTGGTTACTCACATAAAGATGGATCACTGCATGCAGGTACCTGTATTGTCTGTAGCAGTGGTCCCCAATGCGGTGCCCGCCATAGCGCCGCCGGGGCATTTATGTGCGCCTGCCTAGTGTCCAGCAGGGGAGAGAAGCCGCGGCCACGCGCCTGATGGAGACAGAGAACTCAGGCTCCGGGCGCGGTGTTCTCTGTTCCCGGCAGGCGCAGGGCCCGTCTAGTGCCCAGCAGGGGAGAGAAGCCGGGGCCCCATGCCTGCTGGGGACAGAGTACTCTGGGGCTGCGGGCCCCGGTGTTCTCTGTCCTCGCGGCTTCTCTCCGGCTTCTCTCTTCTCTCTGGATTCAAATATTATGTAATATTAAATATGATGTTTTTCGTATTATTTAATGTACAAATACAAAATAAGCCTTGAAAAATTGTTGGCACGTGCCACACTCTTCTGAAAACATGAATGTGCTACTGGCCACAAAAAGGTTGGGGACCACTGGTCTGTAGGCCTTAAATTTTTGATCTAATGATAATTTATATAATTGCCATGGTAATATTATTCATCATATTGTTTTCTGTGTTAGTCTGGAGAAACCATAATGAATAGGGTGAAGTAGTGATGACGGTACCGGGAAGAATGTTTGTTTTCAGGTAAAGGAAGGGTGTGATGCAACAATTAAAATGGCAGATGAACCCGGTCTGTCACACTCATGGCCAGCTCTGTTGTACCGACAAATACAGTGCTTCCTTAGAAGGGTGTCAAAATACACTAGGGATGGCAGAATATTTAACAGCTGTTTAAAACACGAGTAACGCCAGGGCTCCCCTTGTGTAGCTGTGGGAGGGAGGTGGATGTTTTTCAGTTTGCCAAGAGTAGGAAAAATAAAATCTATGAGCAAGAAGCTGAGAAGAAAATGTTGCATATTTAGGACATTCTCCACATGATGGCAGTAAAAAACCCCTGGAATTCAGAGATGGTTTATTTCTCAACTTCAGAAACCAAAGGGGAGAAAACAACCCAAGAAGATGAGGCACTGAAGTGTATATGGCTGAGCTGTTATATTTCCAGTTTTTCTCCTGGTAATCCTTAGAATCTCCAGCTTGTTTTCTCAATGGTGAAGCAACATCAGGAATGGCACAGGGAGAACAGGTCACTGGTTACATCATACCAGTGGAGAGTATGACTCATAGGCATTAGTTCAAAGGAATTTTTGATTTCCTAAGTTGTACATATGTGTGGAAGGAGAGGATTCAGAGAAAGGAATTTGTTGTTATCCTCATGTGAAAATTCCTATCTGCCTGCCCAAGGAACTGAGGCACTGAAACTCATCACTTAAAGCTTCATAACTGAGTCTGTCAAAGGACACTTGGATAAGTATGCTGTTTGACCAACTTGGTTTGATTTATTTGACAATCCCAGATAGGAATTAGTTTTGGAAGGAGTTTGCAGATGAGGCTAAGTTTGCCTGAGGCACTTGGATAATCTTGTGTGTGGAAGCAGTTAGAGGGGAATGTATTTAAAGACTCCAGAAGCAGCTGTGTAGCTAAAATTAAAATGTGTTTTTCTTGAATTTTTTTTTTTTTTTTTGCTTAATCTCCTGTTTCAGACTCTGGACTTGTCTATGGGAGCAAATGGGAGGGAAAAGGGGCGGGGCGGGTGTGTGTGTGTGTGTGAAATTGAACTTAGAAATTCCTGGTTTGCTTTTTACAGCTTGGAAGCACCAGATATATGACATAAAAGGGGCTATAGCCAAACATCATCTGAATGTCTCCTCTTCATGCTTCATATTTATATCCACAGGCACCGACTGTGCCGGGGGATGCTCAACCCCTGGCTCTGCCCCAGGTCCCACCCCTACTTTGCCTCTTCCCGCCCCATCCCACCCCTTCTCCCAAGCCCCCGCCTCCATCCCGCCTCTTCCCACCCCCGTTCCACTCCCGCCCCGCCTCTTCTTGTCCTGTTCTGGCCTCTCCCCTAAGCACCTTACATATAGTAATGAGTGTATCCTCATAAGACCTCCAGTTCAATAAAGGGGGAACTGAGGCCCAGAGAAATGAATGGACTCGGCTAAGGTCACATGAGGCATCTGTGGCAAAGGAACATGAGGATGATGAGGGCAGCTTCTGTTACATTTTCCCTCTTTGACCATGTATTTCTTGGAGGATGTTGAGCTTTAGGCCCAAATATCCATGGGAGTCCAACAGCCCATGCAGTGTGGTATCCTGTCTCTAACAATGGTTTATACCAGTTGCTTTGGAAGAAGATGTAAAACCCCATTATGGAGTTTGCAAAGCTTGCCTTAGTCTTCCATATTATCTTTAATCAAATGAATCAAGAATACTTTTATTATGTGATAAAAGCTAAGGGGCTGTTCAAAATAAATAAGCAGGTCAACCAACACACTGAAATTCCATATTTCAAATTTAAAACACTTTACAAACATTGAAGCCTCACAACTTTCCTATGGGGTAAGTAAAGTGTATAGCCATCTTACAGATGGGTCAGATGAAGTGATTTGCCCAGCAAGTCATTGGCAAAGATGGGAACAGAATCCAGGAGTCCTGACTCCCAGTCCTTTGCTGTCACAACAAGAGCACATCACCTCTCAACCACAGATCAATCAGACGCAGCAAATGGAATTATATGTAGAACATCCTCCCTGGTAAAAGAATGTCTTACATTCAAGAGGGATTAGATTCCTTGTATACATATGGAATTCATATTCCTGATAATAAGAGTCATGCACTGTGTCCTGAACTCCCAAGTGAGCAGCATTGTGAGGGTCACACCAGCAGTTTGAACTCTGACCTGTCAAGGATTCCCTAAAACCAATGAAACCAAAAAGTGGAGGGTGGAAAGGAAGGTGTTCTGTTCCTCCTTTTTAGAGTCATCAGAATCTGAAAAGACCAAATCTAAAACTGTTATGCTAAGTCAGCTTTCTACATCAGCAGTCACCTTGACCATCACTTCAGATGCCCTAGGTCAGGTCCGATGTGGTGAAAGACACAGGTATGGCAGTCTGATAAGTGATGAGGCCTTTGCAGAACCCAAGCTCTGGTGTTTTCTGCAGTAAATGTGGCTCTGGCATCCCTGAAAATAGCTCATACAAGGAAATCATACTTATATTTGTGGGTTTGTTTTTTATTCTTCAGAAATAACTTGTTTGTGAGTGATAAGTAAGAGAAGCACAGTGAGCAATTTTGGAGCTGCGCAGGGGACGGTTGGTAATTTCTGAGTATGTTTCCCAAGTCCTCAGAAAGGTCATTGGGGGTCTCCATTACATGCAGTCTGGAGCCTGTTACAATTTAATCTGCTTCCTGGATGGCCTCCAGTGTACAAGCAACTGACAGTCTACAGTCTTTGGAATTGATTTCCTGGAATCGTGGAAGGCCTGTTTGGCGTCCAGATGACAGATGTGTGTTTTGAGTGTTCAGTGCAGCAAGATGCTTTGCAGAGATGAGAGAAAATTTGCCTCATTTCCACATTTTCGATTACCTTTTGAATCTTTCTCTAGAGTTTTGTGGGATAAACTCATTGTCGCATGCTAATGCCCCATTGAACGGGCATCACTAATAATCCTTTGTCCTTCTCTAGCACTTGTCGTCTGTGGATCACAAAGAGGTTTTATAAACATTCATTAAGACAAACAACATCTTTGCTAGGTAGTTAACTATTATTATAATAATTTTACAGATGAGGAAACAGAAAACTGAAGCACAGAAAAATTACTTGGCAAAGTTTACACAGTGTGGTTGTGTCTTCATTAGAAAAAAAGGTGTGTTTTTAACCCTAAGGCTCACCTAAACCAGCTAACTTTGTTTAAAACTACAACTGCCTTATCTTCACTATGATTATAACATGGATTAATTAACATGTGTTAAAAATACATCTTTTTTTGTAGTGAAGGCAAGGCCTGAGTGACAGAATTGACAGAAGGACCCAAGGGCCCTGACTCCAAGTTCCCTGCTTTAATCACTTAAGTTTCTCTCAGTAGTACTGTATACATTCCAAACATTGCTAAAACTGGGGTGCTGTTCTCTTCTCTTGTAGCACATAACAGCAAGGGTCACATCTGAGATCAAGGACTATGTGGGCAAGGTCTTCCGGGTGTCAATGGAAGGAGGCTTGGTAGTGGATGTACAATGGTAATAGAATATTCCAAAATATATGAAAACAGTACCATCTGAAAACAGTGGCCCAATATGAAATGAGTTGGTGGTGCCACTCTGGTTCTTAGCAGGACAGGAATCTGAATTAAAAACAATCAGTACTAATTATCTCCATTATTGACAGTCTCATTGGAGTGGCTGAAAACTGAATGTGGGACATAAAGACCAACTTTCCTCTCACTCCTAGAAATGGCCCTTCCAGGGCAGAGAGCAAGAGTCAGACGTATTGGCAGGCGGTGGTATGTGTCAGAAACCTGGCCTGCTGCTACCTATGCTGTTCTCATTTTGTGGATAAATAGAGCACTTCAGACAACAAGGATGTCAACCCAGCACTTTCACCAGCACTGAATGCACTAAAACTTTATATAAAGGAAAAACTATTTTCATCCTCCAGGGACAATGGGTGGAATTTTACTACACCCATTAAGTATGATGTTTGGGGACGTATTAAGCAATTTTTATCTTTTGGTTCTATTTGTAATAGATATTAAAAACAATATACAAGCATTAGCTGAAAAGAACCAGGGCTTTGGAGCAGAGCCCGGAGCTGGAGCGCGGAGCAGCTCCGGAGCAGTGGAGCTGCAGGTTTTTGCCTGGAGCTGGAGCGGAGCCAGAGCACAGCTCCAAAGCCCCGGAAAAGACTGCCAAAGTCTGTAACCTATCCTCCCTTTCCCTTTTCCCCTCCTTTTCCTAACCAATTTGGGCTTTTTTTAAAAAAAATGAAAATGAGAGCTTCAGACTAACTTCTAGTTTAGTCAGCTTGGTCCCTCTGTAGAACTTCTGAATGTCACAATTGAGCTCCAAGGGAAGCTGCAATTTCCCTTTGAAGAACAATCTAAGGTGCTAGCAAAGGGGAAAGGCACTTTAAAGGGAAAGTGCTGCTTCCTGCAGAACCTGGTCAGGGGTCTTAGGAGCAGTATAGA